AAAACATATCAGTGAACAATTCTTAAAAGAACCTTTTGTGGAATGGAAAAATTCCATGGATGTTAGAGGTTCTTCATGGAACCATAGTTGCCCATAAACAACATTTATTTTTAAAAGTAAATGGAATGAACTGGATGAAAGCTTCAAAACTATCTAAAACTTTGACATGGTTTTGAAATCGGTCCATTAAAATTCATGTCAAATTTCTTAATCCAAGAGCCAGCTCTGGATGAAAAAAATAAAGTAAAAACACCACCAAAGAAATCAGAATCATTTTGATTTCGCTTCAGAACGCAGTTACGGCTTTACAAACAGCATTGCACAAAACGCACACAGTCGTCGATTTCACATTATAACAGGGCTCTACCACAAAATGGGCGGGGGAAAAAAATCAAGTCAAAGCAACTAGACAACTGCATGCACTAGGTTTGTCTCTGTTCATTTCAGTGTTGATTGACACTGTAAGGTTTAAAATTCTTTAAGACTGACAGAGTCTGCAAACACGACACGGTATGCATTGTGAAGGGAGATGAGAGGACTTAGGTGTGGCTCTCGGTGCCGTTAGGGGTGAGCTTGGTCTTGTGCTCCACCCGCGGGCCTTTGGCCGAATACTGGACCAGCAAGAAGGGCTCCTTGGTTTCACCTTCACCGACAATGCTTTCCTCGTCTTCAGACTGACTGATGCGCTGCAGCCGCAAGTAGCACCAACAACCGAGAATTAAAGCCCCCAGTGCGGCAATGGCAATGAGTATTACAATAATTGTGACGACCCCGGTGGTGGGGCTATGGTCCGTGATGGACATCCTGTCAGTCAGGAGAAGTTCAACCACAGGTCTTCAAACGTCCACGAGAGGCAGTTCTGCAGAGTTCTTGTAGGTCTGGGCTACATCTGAAAGACATAAGAACCAGGATTATTCCTCAAGAAGCACAAATTCTGAGAAACTTCCTGAACCTTTCCTCACTAGAGAGATTAAACGGTTTCAAAACATTGCTTTATGAAGCATGGAAACCTTTGCAAATCATTTCTTTCAAAGCACTCATCGAACCGCCAAAGTCGTGTGATTTCAGCCATCTAAGCTTTGTTACATCATAACTGTTCAGAAAGGTCTCTAATACTCTCTGTAAACACCTGAACCAGTGTCTATATTGTTTTACCTACATTTGTGGACATTTTAATGACGCATTAGTATAATAAAAAGCCAGTGTGACAGTTAATACATTCTTATTGGCCTGATTAACCAAGCTCTCCATAAATCAGACAAAACAAACCCTCTATAATTTAATAATAACGCATATGAATGGTATTAGGCCTACATGATTTGTTAATAATATTTAGCAGATTAAACTTCCAATAAAACACTTGCATGTTGGCCTGAGTTTTCGTGTGGTGTTTCGAGCGTTTAAAAACAGTGAATCGTTTTGCTCAGTAATTGGTTCAATTGATTCGAAGTTTCGAAAAGCTTCGTTTCTCCCATCGTTAGTTCTCACTCATTCTTGAGAAACAATTTCATACAGCTTTACCAGCCATCACTGCTCAGGTCATGGTTCCCTTCATGAAGCCACAGGTTATGCAACGCTGTAAGCATCTTGGTGAAGACTTTTCATCTTGCCCACGCGCCAGAGTGTTAACGTTAAATGCGCTCGTGCTTGAATTGATCCGAGAGGCACGAGGCCCTAAAACGCGTTACGACGTTAATGCAACACACAGCTAACTATCTACTGCAGCAAGTATCGTACCAGTCGTTTATTTTTTATTTTTGCCCAAACGGAAAGACGGCATTAATTTGCTCCCAGAGTAGCGATTTATATGCGCTCTACACGAGCCCTGAATGGAACAGACCGTATTTTCTGAACAATTACTGATACAAAATGAAGAAAAAGGATCATTTAAAGTGAAGCTTACCAAAACCAGGCCGCTTTTTTATCAAAGAATAACGCTTATGTACGTTCTGCAAACCATTTCGTGCAGTGGCGCGAGTTGACAGCTGCATAAACACTCCGTCTGTCTCCAGTGATCCAGCTCTTATGTTATATACAGTAACAAGCCAGTCGCTTACATTTCTAGCCCGAGCAGATACATAAATAAATAAATATAGCTTGTCACTGTACAGGAAATGAGATCACGCCTGAAAAAAGGGAAATATCCAATCAAATAGCCTAAAAGCAATGCTGTTTTGATCAGTAGAGGAGGTGCTCTGACAGGCGGATGTGGTACAGATTGTCTTCCTATGCGTGACATTTGTTCTGCATTCACAGACAAATGGAAAGAGATTAATTTGTGTATTTGTTTGTGAATATGAAACATTGCATATTGCTATATCTTCCCACCTACAGACACGCACATGTTTTGCACTGATCGATAAGTTCTGCATTTTCACAGAATAATATGTGCACAAGCGGAAGCTTCGGTCATGAAAACAAATTCCTCGTATGTGAAAACATTCCTGGCAATAAAGCTCATTCTGATTCTGATTCTGATTCTGACAAGTCCCGTGGGTGATAATGCTAAAAATAGAAAAGGCAAAACACACACCATTTTAATAAAAGTAATAATTTAAATAAATGAATTTAATTATACAAATAATATTTTACTTTTTTACTTGACTTTCAAAGAGAGGACGTGTAAATGCACTTTATATATATATATAATTATTTGTTATTATTATTTTGTACTACTGCAACTTTATACATATTCATGCACTTGCAAATCAAGTTTTATTTTTATTTACAAAAAACAACAATAAAAAAGAAATTACACATACGCTAGCCAAGCCAAAAGGTATATCATTCATATAAAAGGCGTTTAATATAAATTGTTAACCAATAACAGGATACACGATAAACACATAGACAAAACAGTTGTTAGCTGAACTGAGTTAAACTACGTGAAAATACACGGTCAAGCCAGCCCCACTTTTCGTTGTTCTGCGCGTGTAATCGCGCGCTTACGGTATGGGTGCTGGGAGCGGAATGGATGGAAAGACGTTTCCTTTATACTTTTGCTGATATTTTCAATAGATTGCTGTTCACGGTGACACAAAATATCACTGCATAAAACGTAATTTAACCCTAAAAAGACCATAAAGCGACATCAGAATATTTATTTATTGTTACTTTACATCAGAACATAATACAATTTCTGGATTTTTTTATGACTTGAACATTATTGATTTTAATGTTTGTGAATAAATTTTTTGTACATTAACATTGGTATTATACATTTATTAATATGCATCATTTATTAATGTTAATATATATATATATATATATATATATATATATATATGCCTATTCAAACATTTATAAAATCTTTCCGTTTGCTCAACCTTTCAACTGATACTGTTTACAGTAACCCTGACTATTACTGTTAATTTAGTAATAAAGTAATTATTAAGTAATTAAATAAAGTAATTTCACTGTACAAATTGTAACGAATCGGCTCATGGGAAATATGAATAATTAATCATAACTAGTTATAATTAATTATTCATATTTCATTCTTTCAATTGATTCCTGTTCACAGTGACCCTGACTATTACTGAATAAATTTTTTTAAATAAAGTTGTTATTTTTGTTTTCTTTGCACACAAAAAGTATTCTCCTAGCTTCATAAAATTACGATTGAACCACTGATGCCACATGGACTATTTTAACGATATCCTTACGTTTCTGTGCCTTGACCCTGGTAGTACTCTTGCTGACTATGGAGGGTCAGAAAGCTCTCGGATTTCATAAAAAATATCTTAAGATGAATGAAGGTCTTACAGGTTTGGAACGACATGAGGGTGAGTAATTAATGACAGAATTTTCATTTTTGGGTGAACTATCCCTTTAAAAAGTGCAGCCATATACTTAAAAAAAATTTATTCACATCTTAATGATAGTTTGACTATAGTTTGACATATAGTTAGATATAGTTTGACTTTGAATATCAATCATATATAGCTGTGCCGCACATGCAGCGGGGAGGCTCTAGAAGAGTTTCAGTAACACACTGATTGACTAATTGACTGAATTTTGTTGATGAAAATTATTTAGTTTTGTTTAAAAAAACATTTTGATATTGTTTGTATCAAAATTAATCTTTCTCCTTTGACATGTTCAAAGTTAAATAAAAATACAGCAATGTAATACTTCTCGCCTTCTCTTTAAAGGAATAACTACCATTTCTGTCCTTTGGTGTGACATAAAAGAACCACAGATTTGTTTTTATCTCGAAATATCTTTAAACAGTTGAGTAGCCTATTGCAGTAGGGGAGATATAATCATCATTCATCTTAAAATGGTATGATTTTCTGCAGTTTTAAATGGATGACAGCAAAGTTTGTCTTGAAAATGTCCAAAAAGTCATGGGGGAAAATGATTTAATTCATAATTTCATATTAAATAAGTAACACTATATGAAAATTAGTGTCTAACAATGAAGATACATCTCTCATGATATTTGTATATTATTAAAAGTTTTTTTTTGTTTGCTTTGTCACACCATAGGACAAATTTACAGTTCAGTAAAAAATAAATAAAAATAAAACTGTGAAAGAATTGACGAAGTCAGTGACCCTTTATATTTTCTCAAACATCAGACTTCACACTACATAAACATATGTAGGTTATTTCTTCTTCAAAAATGGTATTTTACAAAAAAAAAAAGCACATATATATATATATATATATATATATAGGCTATGTACAATAGAAATGTTAATGTACAAAAAATGTATTCACAAACATTAAAATCAATGTTCAAGTCATAAAAACATCCTGAAATGGTATTATTTATGTCCTGATGTAAAACAGCAGTAAATAAATATTCTGATGTCGCTTTATGGTCTTTTTAGGGTTAAAGTACATTAATATTTTTGGTCACCGTGAACAGCAATCTATTGAAAATATCAGCAAAAGTATAAAGGAAACGCCGTTATGACCGCGTCTTTCCATCTATTTTGACCGCTCCCAGCACCCATATCGTAAGTGCGCGATTAGACGCGCATGAACAAAGAAAAGTGCCTACACTGCCGGAAATATAAAGAAGAAAAAGAAGAAAAAGAAGAAAAAGAAGAAAAAGAAGAAGACGACGACGACACAGAAAAGTGCGGCTGGTTTGACCGTGTATTTTCACGTGTTCCTCATGTGACCAAATACGGAACTTGGAACGTCTAATTAGTCTGTCTCCCATTTATATATACAAAAATAAATAATAATAAAAAACTCTCAATCGCTTACTAAATCTATCGAGATATACATATTGACTTTATGTACAGCTCTAATGGTCTAAAGTGTCCAGTTTTGGTCTGATCATAAGAGAGCTCAGCCCGCCCATCTCTGTTGCGGAAATACAGCGAGTGCGTAACAAAACTAAAAAGCAGGAAACTCGTTCCGGAGTGTGTTCCCAAGAAAACGACAAAACCCGTAAGTGTTATGCTTTCAAGCTATTTTTGTTGTTGTTGTTGTTTTGAACGAGCGTCGCCTTATCGTTTTAAGCCTACAACTCTGAGAACTGTTACTTCTCGTGTTGAACGTGGTATTTGTAGTTTGCATGTATTTCACAAGTGCCTCAGAAAAGTAAAGTTCCATCACGAATTGGGCAAGACTATGAATATCGGTACAATATAATAACCTTATATTTACTAAGAAGCTATGGTTTTTGTTGTTATGTTTTTAAAGCACCCATCAAGGCCATGGCAAGCGCCCCCCCATTGGAGTCATCCACACTTGTGGGACACCCGCCTCCTCCATCGTACGAGGAGGCGCTGGGATCAAACCCACAGTACCAACCAATGCCCTATGCTCCAGCTCCAGATATGAAGACATCTGTGCCTCTGTATCCAACACAAGCCTACAGCCCCATGTATCCACCACCACCAGCCCAACAAGGTCAACCTGTCACCAGTCCTCTTGGTAATGGCCCTAATTCCACCATGGCTTTTTCTGATCACACATTTTAAACTCAAGTGTTTACAAAAAAAAGGTGGTATACATCACTCAAAAGATAAGAATAGTGTAGAGATTTTTCTCAAGACTAACCTGGTTGACTTCTGTCCCATCGACTGGTAGTGCTGTTGATTGACCACGCAAACCAACTTGGACAAGCTAAAAACAGAAGTTGGTTGAATCTGGTTTTTCCAGTTGAACCCTAGCATAATTAAGTTTGTTTTTTCAGACTCGGCATCGGCAAGTAGTTTCAGATTTGCATTTATCCTGTTGGCCCCACTGTTTTTAAATATGTATTTGTTTTATTTATAATTTATTTAAACTAGAAAATAAGTCAATTAAAATTTTTATAAGAAATTATATTTAATTAAATTAATTTCAAAAATCATTTTTAATATTTAATTTGTATTTATAATTTATTTAAATGTAAGCAATTATTTAATAAAACGATTCTTTGAATTTGCCTTTAATATTCTCCAAAACTATACAGTAAAATGACTTGAAAATTAATTCAGTAATAGTCAGGGTCACTGTGAACAGGAATCAATAGCAAGAATGAGCAAACCTATAAAGAAAAGATTTTTATAAGTGTTTGAAAATGGGACATGATGTGAAAGTGCTAGAATGCTCTTTTACGATTGGGGTGAAATTGCCTTTGATTTTCTCCAAAAGTATAGGCCTACAGTAAAAATACTTGAAAATTAATTCAGTAATACAGGTTCACTCTGAACAGGAATTAATTGAAACAATGAGAAAACCTGTAAATGAAACATTTATATGAGTGTTTGAAATAGAAAACTATTAGAATGCACTCTGATTTTTGGAGTGATTTTGTCTTTAATTTTCTTCAAAACTATACAGTAAAATCAGTTGAAAATTGATACAGTAATAGTTCGGTTCACTCTGAACAGGAATAAATTGCAAGAATGAGCAAACCTTTTAAGGAAAGCTTTTTACATGTAAGGGATTTTATGAGTAAGTGTGAGAATGCACATTGATTTTTTTGTGATTTATTTAAATTTATTTAAATGTAAACAACTATTTAATTTTATTTTCTTTTATAAAAGAAATGTACTTAAAAAAAAAATATATATTTTATTTTTTTAAATAATTGTATTCATAATTTAAATGATTCTTTAAATAAATGTTTAATATTTAATTTTATATATAATTTGTTTACATTCAAACAATTCATTTTTATTTAAAATAAAAATATTTTGTCAGATAGATCTTACATTACATATTTTAAGAGTTACATTCAATAACAATTATTTTCTCAGCCTTACAGCTATTTACCATGTTAATGATTTTTGTTTTTAATTAATTAATTTCTTTGGTAAACATTTTGTAAACAAAGCATTTCCATCGACTAAAATCTACACACATTGATTCCAGCACATCCTTTTTGTTAAGACCCTGATATTTGAACAGTTCATGTATAAGAAACCTATGCAGCACAGTATTTCTAAGCGTTCTTGTCTTTGTACCTAAGTATCTGTGCAGACCGTGTACGTTCAGCCTGGTCTGGCGTTCGGGAGTGTCCCAGTGCAGGCACATTGCCCAGTATGCTCACAGAACGTGATAACTCGCCTGGAGCATACATCAGGAGCATTAGCTTGGCTCTCTTGTGCAGGCTTGGCCATTTTTGGGTAAGATGAAACATTACATAACATACACTCTTATGGTTTTCTTCTTTTGCACAAAGACATTCCTCTGATTGTTCTGTTCACGTCTCTCATGTTCTAGTTGTATCTACGGCTGCTGCCTGATTCCCTTCTGTGTGGACAGCCTGAAGGATGTGATACACCACTGTCCGAACTGCAGCAGCGTTTTAGGAGTCCACAAGAGAATCTGAAGCAGCTGCAGAACATATGAATTAGTTGTGTAACATACCACTCTTTGTTTATAATGGGAAAAAGTTACAGTCAATTCATTCTTTAGCAAGAGTTAATTCAATATCTGTGCCACCGACACACTGACATGTATTCCAACATATGCACACACACATATATATACATATATATATATACCTTAACATACTTGTCTTTTCATTGTAAACTGTGATTTGACCAAAAACTAAGTTTAATTTTTTTTAAAATAATTATATTTAAAATCACAATTGTGAAGAAATCTTTGTAACAGTAGATTTATGCATAAACAGTGCAATTATTCTCAATTCTTCTTTCTGTAATCATACTGAAGTAGAAAAAAATTATATAAATAAATATGTATATGCTTTCGCACTTAAAAGCACTGGTGTGTATATGTAATGCATTTTCTGTTTGTTCCCTCTGTTTACTTGGCAAATATTATAAGTGCTGCACCAGAAAGAAAACAAATGCATCAGTCTCATGAAGCAAACGAAGATTTAGGGCAAAATCTGCTGGAGATCTTCTACTTCATAGATCCAGTTTTTCCTGTCAATCAAAGCATTTTGGAAAGATCTGCCATCTTCACAGCACGCAGCATCGGCTCTGGACTGTGTGACTGGATGACACCCATAACCATGACATATTTACCTGTGGGGGGAAAATTACAAAAAATAAAAATCCGAGAACTCCAAGCGAATGCAAATTGGATGAAAATCTAAATTTTTTATCATTTGAGTCATTTTACAAAAGTTGCTAAAAGTTGCCAAAAACTTTTTAAAAATAGCTAAATTTGTTGCTAGGTGCTTTTT